AGGCCCGCCCAGGGAAGGAAGCTGTCGGGAGCCCTGGGCTGGGTGAGGCAGACGGTTCTCCTCCTGGGGAGATGGGCATTGGGTGGGATGCTTCCCATCCTTTCCTCGCTTCCCCAAAAGTAAGCCTCAGGCTCCTTCTATCTTAGGGTTCACTGAACCACCATGAAAACACAGACGAGTAAGGGCTACTCCCAGGAGAGTTTCAGAGGTCCCGTCCTGGGTCCCCAAGTCTCATGCTGGTTTCCGGCCTCTTGTTAGGTGGCTTCTTGCAGCAGACCTGCCACGCATTCTAGGAGGTGCCCCTTTTCTCACCTCTCAGGCCTTCTCTGCTTCCAGGCTGTGGAACCCCAGGAGCCAGGGCCGCCTGCAGTCTGACCTGACTTCCCAGAGTGGGCTCCAAATGATCTCAGTGGTGACACAGGGACTGACTGGCTGCTGAGTGCCCCCTGCTGGGAGATCCTTGCTCTGAGAAGGGGCATTTGCCACCTTTGGTGGCCTCCATCTGGTGGGGCTGGTGGTGTGGCTTCCCCCGGTGCACAGGAAACTCCTCACCACCTTCCAGCCTCCATGGGCAGCTGACGATCTTCAGCAGGTGCCTAGATCCCAGGCCAGAGAGGCCTGGAGATGAGGGCGGGGCCTGGAGGAAGAGTCAGGCAGCAGGACGTTGAGGTGTAAATCAGAGCTGCCTCTGGAGCCCCAGTCGCGGCTGTCAGAGGGATGACAGAGAGGCTGCAGTTGGAGAGATCAGGAGGCCACACTTGCAAATGAAAATCCTCTCTGGAGCCTCTTGCCAAGCCCTGTCCCCAAGAACAGGATGAGCTTTGGCTCGGCTCCGCGGGGTTTGATTCATAGCCATGTCCATCTCTGGGGAGAGCCGCGTGGGAACAGCATTTGGATCCGGCCTCTGGTGACGGTGTGATTTATACTCCCCAGAGCAGGCGGGCCAGGCCTCTCATGGGGTTCCAGGGACAGATGCTGGCAGGCTACTGCCTGCCGCTGGCCTGCCCCCTCACCAGCTGCCCTCTTGACCCTCTCCAGGACGTGTCCCTCACCACCTTCCCTTAGGCCAGCTTCTGCTGGTGCTGACCTTTGTCCTCAATTATTCTCCATGACCCAAGACGGTCTGAACCTCCGCCTGGCGCCCAACCCCAGGCTGGGGACCGGAGCAAGAGCAGAGTCCTCCACACTGCTCGAGGGTCCAGGGTAGAAAGGACCAAAGTTCAAGCTGGACCCTTGACCTACAGAGCCATGAGGGAGAGGGACACAGTGTGGCTGATAAGTGCAGGAGAGGATGGCGGGCAGGGCCAGGTAGATAGGCCAGCCTGTCAGCCATGGGGAGCAGAGAGAGGCGGGGTCCTGGCCAACTTGCTCGTACTGGGGGACAGGGGTCAGGGGTGTCCTTTCCACTCCTCCCACCTTGCCACCTCGCTCACATGCCTCTCTCCCTTGAGACCCTCCAGTCTCTCCCTGCTGAGCTGGGACCACACATGTGTTGCACATCACTGCCACCAGAAGGGTGACAGGAGACTCTCGCTGTTGGTTGGCGCATGTGTCATCTCACACCCGCTCTCCAGGCCCCAGCGCTTGTCCACGCATCCCGTGTGTGTGCTCACTGTTGTCAGCGTGGTCTCTCATTCTGGGTCGCAGAGGTCAGCGCATCTGTCCAGCATCCTTCCTGAGCTTCCCAAGCCCAGGGGGGGCCATTTGTGTATGAAGTCATCCCGGTCCCAGCCAAAGGATGGCACCCAGTGGTCGCCCAGTGAGCGCCTGAGGGTCAGTCAGCTATGTTTGCATAATGTGTGAGTGGCACCAAAGTGTGACTTACTGTCTTAATCAGCAGGATTTAGTTTATATACTAGATTGACAGTGCACAGCAGTCAGTCTCAAAACAGGCCTGGGAAGTCACTCAGCCACTGATGAGGAATGGCTTAAGGTACAGAGCTGCTCGCTGTAACAGAGACTGGCGGTCAGAGGGAGCCCTCTAGCCAGGCGCAGCACGGCTGCCCCAGAGGCCGAGAGGGAAGGTCGCTTGAGTCCACAAGTTCAAGGCCAGCCTGGGCAACATAGACTCTACCTCAAAAAATAAAGAAAGAGAACTCCCAAGAATTCTAGTCCTGCTAGACAGTAGGTGCCTCGAAGGCAGGTGTGATGTGACCCTCTCTGTTTAGGTCCCACTCGGCATCACGGCTGGTAAGTGCATTGACCCAGGGCCTGTGGTGACCATGCGTGGTGTGATGTGCCATCTCTAGAACCTGCTGGGAGGGAGGGACAGAGGAGGGACCGTGGCTGGTAGCAAGCACTCTTGGGACCCTGCTATACAGACAAGGCTCCTTTTGTAAATGGGAGATTCCCTTATCGGTGACATCTCATGTTTGTTTTCCCCTCCGGTGGTAATACTTCAAAGGGTCAGGGAATAGGAAACAACCCCATTAAGCCTGCGATTCTGAGGGCTCGGTCTGCGGCTGACAGCTGGAGTGGAGCTGTGAGATAATGGAGCCCATACTGGTCCCAGCCAATCCCTCTCCCCTTTGCAAAGCACTGAATGACAAGCAGAGCGCTCAGCTCCAAGCAGGCAGTCGCATTCAGATGACAAATGTGTCCCTGGACAGAGGAGCTTGTTGAGTGATATTTACCAGGGTCTCTGGGAAGGGCCCTCCACTCCCAAGAGAGCAGTCCAAGCCTTGGCCTCTGTGCCTGCCCAGGCCCGAGGGGAACTAGCCCTCCCTCCCTCCTCTCCATCTCTGGAAGCCCTGGTGATTTATTTAGATGCTAGAAGTTTCCTGTGCTCTTCCTTCTTCCTCCTTGTACTCCACCTCCCTCTCCCCGTCAAACCCCAGCAGCCTGGAGCTTGCAGGCGGGGGTAGGAGGGGGGCCTGCCTTAGCCCGCGTGGCCCAGCCCCACCTGAGTGCTCCTGTCAGGCTCCTCCATCCTTGGAGCCTCAATCTCCTGAGGTCCAAGAAAGAGCCAAGAAGAGCGACTGCTCAGGCTCGCCATCCAGGTAGAGAAATCTGTGTTCCCACACGCCGTCCCACGTCACTTAGCCACCCCTCCCCACACACCCCCTGGTGCCAGGTACTATCCTTTGTTGGAAGAGCCAGTTCCAGACAGTGTGTTTGAGAAGCAAAGGAGGCCAGTGGCCAGGGGCTGCCAGCCTCCGAGTGATTCTGGGGATTCTCACCAGGGCCTTTTACCTGAGCCCACCGGAGAGACAGAAGCCAGAGAAGATGGACACGTGTACGTGGGTACGTACGTAGGTGTCTGCATGAAGGTATAAACATGCCCATTTACCTGCTGAATACATACAGACAGGACGTGGCTTTACACGTACACTATTCACTTATACCAAGGGCAAGAGGTTTGCTGCAAGCAGTCAGCTCACATGATTATGGAGTCTGAGGCCTGGGCTCAGCAGCCGGCCACCTGGAGGCCCAGGACAGCAGACTCCATAGCTTTGGTCCAAGTCGCAGTCTGAACTCAAGACAGGACAGACAGATTGCCCTCCTCCCTGCCTTTCTGTTCTACTCAGGCCTTCACAGGTCAGAGGAGGCCACCGTGTGGGAGGGGTGCTGCACTTTCTGCGGTTCAGAGGCCCATCTCATGCTGACACTCACAGACCCCCGAAACATCTGGGCATCTTGTGGCCAGTCAAGTGGACATAAAGTCAACCACTACTCTAGCCTGGGTTCACATACCATGTTGAGTTTACCAAGCAGATGGCATTTCATTTGGCTTCCAGAATGACCCAGTGAGGCACTGTCAGCCTCTCTGTCCCAGGTGTCACCTGCCTGGTGTTTGAAGTGCAGTATGTTCACCATAATCCCATATCACCATGTGCCAAGGCTCTTCCCTCCCGGAGACAAGACACCCCTTCCCAGGGTCCCACCCGCCTGCCCGGCATGTGAGAGGCTGAGAGCTCTCCCCCGGGGCTCTGGCCTCTCCTCTGCCCTCACTGCTCCTAGTAAGCAGGAAAGGTCGTCCTGTGGGCTGAGCTGCGGTGGAGGTGTCCCCAGGCATCTCCAACAGCTGGGTGTGATCCCAATGCCAAGGAAGGGCTCGGCATTGAGGTGAGGCTGGCGAGGAGCAGAGGTTGCACTAGGTGGGCAGCTTCCCTGGGACAGGAGTGCCCTCCTTGTGCCCGTCATTGTCACCTTAGGGCAAAGTGCATGGCATTTACACTTAATAAGCTTTTGTTACCATAATCCTGCTGGTAAATCAAGGCACCATGGAGTGTGTCCCTTTATTTAAGACACAATGCAAGGTGTTCTGGCAGAGTCTGTCACAGGGGCATATGAATCAACTCAAAAATGGTCACATCCTCACAGTGAGCTTGGAAAAGGGCCTTGGAAAACCTTCCTCGGGTTTTCATGCCAGTCCGTGCCCACACGGCCTGAGTGTGTTGGTCCATCTGGAAATTTCCTTTCCGGGCTGCCTAGCCGGCATGGTGGAGGAACTATCTTTCTGTTTCTGGAGGGAATTGGACTGGACCTTGCCTGGGAGGACTGTCCTGTAGCCACACTGGCCTTAGCCCCTGCGTGGGGAGAGTGCCTGGCTGGGCCTGCAGAGAGCGAGGCAGCTGGGTGTGGTGTATGTGCCAGCCCCTGGGACGGCCATGCTTGTCCGCACGGAGCTGAGGTCTATGAAGAGGCCATAACCCAGAGTTCAGTGTGAGAAGCAATGTGAGGTGACAGCCTCTGGGCCACCAAGGGGGCTGGGTGAGATCCCAGCACCAGGGGGCATCCATGCTGGGGTTCATGGGTGACAGGTGGCATGGGACCTCAGAGCTGACTCTGTGTGTGTGTGTGGCACTGGGGATTGAACCCGGGGTGCTCTGCCACTGAGCTCCATCCCCAGCCCTCTTATTATTTTTATTTTGAGACAGAGTCTTGCTAAGTGGCTGAGACTGCGTTAGCCTCCTACGTGGCCAGGATGACAGGCATTGCCACCTGCCAGCCTCAGAGCCGACCTTTCTCTGACCACCCTTTTCTGCCATCCCCCGCAGGGCCTGTGCCAGCAGCGAGACGGAGAGCGAAGCTGGAGACCTCATGGACCAGCAGTTCGAGGAGATGAACAACAAGCTCAACTCGGTCACTGACCCCACCGGCTTCCTGCGGATGGTCCGCCGCAATAACCTGGTGAACAGGTGCGTGTGGGCTCTTCCTCCAGGCCTGGCACAGTCCAGGTGACGCGTCCGCAGCCGACACTCCTTCCAGCCGGGCGGGCTCCTGGCCCTCACCACACAGCTGCAGAAGCAAGTGGGGGGCTCGGGGGCCTCTGCTTACAGCAGCCTCCAGCTGCAGCAGGGACTGGCTACGGGCCTGACCGACAGTCCTGGCTGGGCTGGGCTGGGAGGCCCAGGTGGTGGCCTGTTCTCCACACTCCTCCCAGCTGACACTCTGGACCCAGGCGAGACCAGAGTCTCTCCACATCCTGCCGCAGGGAACTCGCAGGTCAGGCACCTGTGCTGCTTCCTGGCCTGGGACTCAGGGAGGCAGGGACAGTGCAGAGCCAGCGTTGCTGAACAGAGAGGCTGACCAGTGAGCTCGGCCACTAGCCAGTAGCCCAGGACCTCCATCCCCAGCGCTCACCCAGTGGCCTTGACAGTCAGGATGAGTCGGGATGGCCAGCCCACCAGCCCCTCCACCTTTTTCCCAGCTGTGAGGCCAGGTCGGGTCCAGATCAGCAGAGGCACTTCTCACACTGTCACTTGGTTCCCCGGCAGCAACCTGAGCATCATATTTTGACAGACTGCTGCAGAGAGACACCTCAGACTGCCCGGGTCCCTGCCTCAGCCTGGGAGGCCTTCGAGGGAGGCTGGACCAGGGCCATGGAGGCTGTGCGCTGGGTGGGGCACGGCCTCTGCCTGTTGGTTCATTTCAGTGGCACCAAGTTCCCTCCCGTCCCTCCCCCAGCCCTGGCTTCCTCTCATTCTTGTGCTGTCAGGGTGACAAACGAGTGTTTACTTTCCCAGGGCCAAACTCCCAGGGAAGGGCGCCAGGGCCAGGACGGAGGACGGCAGCGGGTTAGGAAGGAGGTCGAAACGTCCAGCCAGCCCCGCCCATGGCCTCTTCCCTGCCACCTTCACAAGGGTCCCTGGAGGCTTCGGTTTGTGGGGGACATAGCCAGAAGGGAGCAGGCCTGGCTCTGCGGGGGCCCAGGAGGCAGGGGCCGCAGCTCTGCCAGGGGGTGACCTGTCAGAGCGGAGGCTCGGGCGGCTCTGGCCTCACTGCTCTTCAGCTAGGTGACGCTGGACGGCTGTCTTGCCACTGCCAGCCTCCATGTCTTCAGCCCTGGGATGGCCTCTCTTAATGTGGGATCCGAGGGGCAGGAGTAGCAATAGCACACCGGCCAGCTTCCTGATGCCACAGAGACCGGTCCACAGGTGGCTCCCGTGCTGGGATGAAGTGGGAGGAACCATGCTGGACCCGATTCCCAGGACACCGTGGGTGGATAGACTTTGGAGGGATGGAATCCCTAGGTGCCTCTGTGACAGTGTTAGCTGTCTGGGGCCGTGGCCACGCACCCATCCGATCCTCGTTTCACACCACGATGGCAGCCACCAGACATCATGGCCACCTGATTGCAGGTTCCCACAGGGTTCTGGACACTCTAGGGTCAGGAGAAGGTCAGGTCAGGTGTGCCTGAACCCTAGTTTTCAACCCCAGGTCCATGGTGGTATGAGTTTGGGAACTGTGCGTTTTAGAAAGATGGTTTTGTCCTGAGCAGCTCTGAGACGGAGCAGGATCCTGTGAGCAGAATGTTGTAGATTAGCTTCTTGGTTCATTTAAATGACACCATCTGGGTCCCCAGGAAGGGGGGCAGCGCTGGCCCAGCCCTGGGACCCCTTGGGGAGCAGTAAGGCCCACAGCCCTGGATCCCGGGCCAGCCCTTGCCCAGACACTGTGTACCCATCTCCCTTGGCAGGGGCCGAGCTGGCCAGGACTCTGGTTCCCTGCGGGAGAGCAAGGGGACTAGGGGCCTCTGCAAACTCCAGCCCTGGCCTTTCAGGGGCTGCTGGGGCTGCCTAGGAAGGAAGCAGCCTGTGTTCTTTCAGCCTCGCTGCAGAGAGCCCTTAAGGACAGTCGGCGCCCAGTGTGTCCCCTGCTGCCTTCCTGTTGGGCCTGGAGCAGAGAGGCTGTGGCCTCCGAGCCCACAGGTGGGGAGCTACAGCCAGGGACCCACAGAGGGAGCAGCATCCTTGCCAGCTAGCAGCGTGACCCCTGGTGATCTGCCAGGGCAGCCTCCTGTCCTCCAGCTGAGCACACGGGCAGGAGGTCACACCTCCCGGCTGCCTGCAGTCTGTGTCTCCTGTGTCCCCTCTCTGCCCCTTCCAGGGCCAGGGATCTGAGCTGAGAGGTGTGCCAGCTTGTCACTGCACAGAGCAGCCCAGAAGTGGCTTCCTGCAGACCCCACACAGCGGCCAGGGCCTGCCGCACCCACAGAGGCGAAGGGGAGCAGCCACAGGCATGGGCCTTGTGTGCTGGAGGCGCTGGCTGCCCTCTCCGGGGCTCCCTGACTCGGGGGCTCCCTGACTCGGGGACTTTAGGATTCCTCTGCCCTTCCTTTCCTGAGAGCTTGGCTGGGCGGAGTTGGCAGCGAGGCCGCCGTAGCTAATGCAAGTCGAGTGAGGCTTGGCCGCAGTTTCTCTCACCACTCCGGGTTTGGGCTTTGTTCTGCTTTGTTTCTGAGGTCTCTGCAGCTGCTATTTTTCTTCTTGCCTATGCACTTTGGCAGAAAATGCTTTTGCATTTGAGCCCAAGGCAGGCATCACTGGTGAACAGAAAACAGGGACTTTCTCTTGGCTGGCACTGTAGCTCCCGTGTGGGTCCCAGAGGGCAGAGCAGCAGCCGCGGGCCTCAGAAGTTATGCTGAGGCCTGGAAAGCTAGTGTGCACGTGCGCATGTGTGCGTGTGTGTCCACGCGCGTATGTGTTTATATATGTGTGTGTGTTTGTGGTGGGGGGGGGGGCGTGTCGCTGACTGAACCTGGGGTACTCAGCAGATCACAGCTGCTACAGAAAAGACAGAGACAGGGTGGCTCTTGACTGCACCCTGCATTCCTGGTAGCATCTTGGCATTAGCAGGGTGCAGCCCTGGGTCATAGGACCAGCTCCTAGAGGAACATTCCGATTGCCGCTGCCACTGCTGGGTGACATGTGTTCGAGGTCTCGGATTCTCCACCTACGGCTGTATCATGACACCAAGCTGCAAGGGGCTTCCCTGGTGCTCAGACTGGTAACTAAAGCCAACACAGAGGACAAAGAGGTGGTGTGTCTCCCCCTTCTTTTTCTTTTTAATATTTATTTTTTAGCTGTAGTTGGACACAATATCCTTATTTTACTTATTTATTTTTATATTGTGCTGAGGATCGAGCCCAGGGCCTCACACATGCTAGGCGAGTGTTTAGCTGAGCCTCCCTCGGGCCTCTGCGGCTCCCACCTGGCACCCTGCACGCTCGCTGGTGCTCGTGAAGACTGGGGAGATCAGCAAGCACGAATCCTGGGCCTGGTGGAGGGTCCTCCCAGAAAGTCTCTCATGCCAACGGGAGGGAAGCATCTCCATCTCATAGGCCAGCCGTGGAGACTGCACAGGGAGAGAAGAGACTTAACTGAGGGCCCTGGTGAGGGGACTGGCCCAGTGAGGTCCACATGCCCATGAGGAGCAGGCTCAGAGGCGTCTGTCCTGCTGGTGGGTCACATGAGAATCCCACAGCGGAGATGGGGTGCATAGCCCGTGGCAAGGCAGAGGGGCTCCGGCAGGCTCTCCCCGTCTGCTCTCACCTCAGTTCAGGCCCTGGCAGTGGGGAGAGGGCTGCCCCAGAGCCTGCCCTTCCCTCCACTCCATGAGCAGCAGGCTGACCTGCAGGGGTGGCAGGAGGGCCAAGGGCTGCAGCACAGGAGGGTTTCCTGAAGGCGTGGAGGGGACGGTGGATAGGATGACCGGGTCCGTGTAGCCGGCCCCGTGTGCTTGCGCACGGCTCTCTCTGTGCCCCCACGGAGCACACAGTGCCTGTGTGGTCTTGTGAACCTCCGCGTGGGCCCGAGGGAGTCCAGCATGGAGGCAGGTGCTGCCCACGCAGGGCCCAGGCGTCCTGAGGTGAGGCAGAGTGTGGGAGGGCCTTGCCCTGGCGCCTGGCAGGCCTCGACTTGAACCCTGGCTCTGCCCCAGTGCACCGGTCACCTTGAGCCTTTTATGTATTTTATTTGTCATCCGAGCTTGGTAGTCGTGCATTGTCCTTGTCCCAACACGCTCATACATGTGGAATTCAATCTGGAGAACCGGGGGACACTGCCTTCTGCCAGGGTCGTCCTGTGGTGCCACACAGTGGGAGGCCAGGTGGTGCTCTGTCCAGGGCTTCTTTCCTTCCCTCCTCTCCTTGCATTGGAGGTTTCTGTGGCATCCAAGGTTCTTTGGGGGGATTCAGTCGCCCACCCAAAAGACCAAGATCAGAAACCTGACTGGGCTGCTGGACGCTTCTCCCCTCTCAGGCCACCAGGTCCTGGAAAGACTGTGACATAGATGACATAGATGCACAGTGATGACCAGTCATATCACTGCAGCCACAGGCCTCTCCCCAAGGCCCCCACCTCTCTGGCTCCTGCCCTGCCACCCTGTCCCCTGCTCTTTGGAGGTGGCACATGGCTCCTGACTCTGACCTGCACTGAATCCACCACAGGGCTGTCCCTGGCAGCCCCTGCCAACAGCAGCTGGGCTCCGTGGCCCCGCCTCGGGCAGGAGCTCCATCCCCGCCCCATCCCAGCTTCCTGCAAGTAAGCACAGCCACCAGCCTCCTCACCTGTCCTTGCCCAGGGCCCCTGGCCGCCGCACACCATCCACCCTGGGTGCGTGCTTCTCCCTGGCAGCGCAGATATCAGTGAGGTGCGGGTGGGGAACTTGGAAATGGCCATCAGCAGCCACTTTACAGGCAGTTCCAGCAAGTAGTGACAAGCTTCTTCACAACACAGAAGTCCCCAAAGTTTGCCACCAAGTGTCACGCTTGCCAAGATATCTTAAGGTAGCACTTAATTCACAAGCACTATTTTCTTTACCACTTATTTGTTCACCTTCTTGTTCTAGAAATGATTCGAGTTGACCAAAGCGTACAGATGGTACTATCATATAAAAGATAAACAATGGATGAGAG